GCTAAGTGACCTAAGAGAGTGTGTGTGTGTGTGTGTGTGTGTGTGTGTATGCGTGTGTGTTAGCAGATGTGTATATGAGTGTTATAGAGTATGAATAAAGCATCGTTTTGACAAAATGATCTTAGTGAAGCAGTCTTAGAAAGTAAATGTGTGTGTGTGTGTGAGAAAGAGAGAGAGGGAGAGAGAGAGAGAGAGAGAGAGAGAGAACATTAAAGAAGCACTGTTTCACCAAATTGAACCTAAAGCCGAGAGTAAGAGAGAAGAAGTGTGAAGGAGGAAAATGCAACAGAAATGAGGTTAGAGGTAATGACAGAACACAAAGAATTCATGTTATTTAATGAATGAGTGACTGCATTAATAAAATAATACTCTACCTTTCCCAGCATTCTGTTCAGTTAGCTATCCCAAGGAAATTTTGAAGTAATGTGAACATAACCCCATCGTTATTTTGCACATCAAGAGATAACTAGAATATTTTATGTACACTATTATATGCTCATTACCTGAACGTATTAACATAGTGCTTTTGATCTGTTTTCCCTTTAAATATACTGGGGAAATATACAGTTCTCTACATAAAAACTGCAGCAGTCACATGCTGAAGAATAGGTTTTGTTATATTTTAAAAATGTCTTTAGTACGTTTTTTACTAAACACAATCAGTTCCCACTAATTTGAATATATTGTCACACATTTCCACTTTCTATTTTAAAAGCTTTGCACCATTTTTGTTCTCTTTCTGTACTACACAGATACATCAGAAGGTTAGCTGGTATTAAGTAAATCACTCCAGATAGTCAGCGTCTGAAAAGGATATTGAAAACTTTGAATGATTGACATTTCAGGTAACGTGATGGTCGTAGTTACTTAAAGGCTAATGTACATCTCATATACTCATGATGTTATGGATACAAATCAAGCTCATGACCTTGGTCATGCATCATCCTCTTTCTCACTGCCTCCTCAGTGTCTCTTAAAGCAGCAATGACATTAAATAATCTGTAGAAAAAGTAAAGATATGAAATGCAATGTAAATTCTCCCCGTATTGCTTGTCACGTTTTGACACCATGCCATAAGCATCTTGATTACAGTAAAGCTCAGCGTTTGTCCTCATTATGACTCCTAGGAGCCTCGAATCACCTTCAAAAGCCCAGTCACACACTTACACAAACACACACATGCACACACAGGACCCTGCGCAAGGCTAAAAATAATACCCTTCCTCTTCTCTTCACATGGATACCATGATGTACACACTTAAATCTACACAGGCCCTTACCTACAAATGCATACACACACGGACAAACACACACACACACACACACACTTCCCTTCCTTCCCTCACCCAGCCCTTGTCAGTTGATTGTGTTATTACTATGCTAACCAAATCCTTATAAATGTGATTTAAGGCTTGGCGGCCCCGCACTCCTGTTTTAGCCTTCTGCTACTGTGTTTTACTGGAGAGAGGAGGAGTAAGGGTGGGAGGTGTGGAGGGAGGGATGAAGCGAGACGGGAAAGAAAGAGGGAAAGGCACGGGGAATGAAGAGGTCGAAGAGGCAGGGGGGAGAGAAATGGTTGAAAAAAAGAGCAGTTGGGAAGGGAAGGATGAGAGATGGAAGAACAGAAGAGTTGAGCAGGAAGGAGAGGAAGAGGGAAAGAGAGATAAGGAGTCACGAGACTAGTGAGAGAGGGGTTGCTACGCATTCCCTCAACACTCGTTCCGTCCTATCCAGAGAGCAGTAAAGCGTCAGTAAAATAAAAAAAGAGAAAAAGCATCACCTGCATCTTAAATGAAAATTTCAATTGAAAAACTTAACAGCCCTTCAAATTGCAGAATTTTACACGCGCCAGTAAAGCCTAAATAACACTCAACACTTAGAGGCAGAGGGGGAGGGGAGGAGGAGAGGGAATGAGGGAGGAATGGGGGGTGACAATGGGGGTTATTTTGGGTGGTTGACGGGGGATGGATCAAGGTGACTGGATTGTGTTTTGTGGTAAAATTATTTACAATTGAGGACTTTCCATCTGAGATCTGTCTGTCTTCCTCTCTGTGCATCTCTGTTTCACATCTGTTGTTACAAACATTTTGATCAGACAGACCGAAGGAAACACAGAACGGCAGACAAGAATTTAGTCAAATAGACAGAAGGGTGCAGAATGTATAATGTATAATTAGACAAACAGGTAGAGACACAACCTAACCCTCCGCAAAGATGAACGACAGCGCAGTGAGGCACGCAGACAGGCCGGCAGATATGCACATAGTCAGACAGGAAGACGGGCTCCTTGGTTATTCGTGGGGTTCAGTGGACCTTTGGTGGTAATTGAATCAGTGTGAGTGCTGAGTAGAGCTAGCATAAAAACCTGTTAACCCAAAAGGTCAACTCTCTGCATTGTTTATTTAGCAGGGAGACTGGAGAGAGTGAGGAAGCGAAAGAGGGAGAGAGACCACGACACAGAGCAGAAGAAAATGAGAGAGAGGTGGTGGGAGAGAGGGAAGGAAGGGGTCAGAGAGAGGAAAAGAGAGGGAAGGAAAGGTACAGACAGACAGAAGGAGAGATGTAGATCGAAGGAAAGATGGGTTGTTGGTGGGACGATTTGTGATCTGTAAAATCAGCCAAGCTTTACAACCTTATTTTTATATTGTTGTTTATTTGGGTGGGGGAGATAGAAAAAGTGTGCGTTAGTGTTTGTGTGACTGGCTGGCTGCCATCTTAATGTATCTTTGTGTTTTTACTTGTGATGTGCCTCTCTGTGTGTTTGAATGTACATAATATTGTGTGTGTTTGTGCACACATGGTCAAATACGTTTTTCTTTATGTTTTTATCAGTACATATTTTCTCTATAGAGACCACGAAAGACACCGAGCCTGCTTTCTTATGCCAAAATACAATATAGAATAGATTAGTAGAAATCAGTGCAGATTTGTTTCAGAAGATCAGGGTTTATTGATTAAAACTGTGCTGCATGCTCAATGTACTAGAAAACTCAGGCTCAGGCTATTTACTGAAGATACACTGAAATCGTAGTATCCAAATGCTCAAAAACATTTGAATCGTAATAAACATTATATTAAGAGACAATTTAAACTTTTAACACTGAATGTTAGTTGGCATCTCAGTCTGTGTGAAGTAATAAAGCCAATCACTTGGTAGATAGTCTGCAAAATAAACACATTCTTATAGAACCGCTGACTTGTATGCATGTATGCTGACAAACACATATACATGCTTACACACTTTATCTCTCATACAGTCATGCACACAGATTCTCTCATCTTCATCTTCTTTCACCCTCTCTCTGTCTCTCTCTTACACACATACACACACACACACACACTTGCACACCGCCATCTGGGAAAGCCGTTAGCGGTTAGCGGTAGCACTTAGCGACGCAGCACGCTCCCTCAGTCCGCTCAGTCACCTTGATCTGCTTGCCCTTCACACAGCACCATTACTGCTATAGTGCATCACTGTGGGTGTGGGCTGGTGAGTGTGTGTATGTGTGTGTGAGTATGTGTTAGGAAGAGTGTGTGTCTATGTATATGGACACGCATCTGTGTGTGTCCATTATAGAGCAGTACAGTGGGATGTAAATGCCGGGAGAGGAGGGGGGAGGGGGCATTACCTTCAAATGAGCTACCGTGGAGTGAAATATCCCTCTGACTAGTCTTGTGCAGGTACATATCTGTGCATGGACATGTGCACATCATGTGACTGCGTATGTGTGTGTGTGCCTGTGGCCTTCTGATGTGCATCTCTGTCTGCCTGCATACTTGAGAGGATCATTTTGCCTTATGGACTTAAGAATTTAAGGCACTCCCAGGCATTGAGAACGGCAGTGAACATGAATACACATTGGACCCAAATGAGAAATCTACTCGCTCTCTGAGACCACAGCTGTGGTTTTGGAAAACTATGTGTTGTGATGCATTTGCAATCCGTTTGGTGTCCTGAGCTGACACTTAGTAAATGCTTCAGTTTTTCATATAAACTTATTTAATCAAATTTAAAGTGTATCATTTACATATATTATGCCCTCAATGTAGTTACTTCAATCATGGGTCATATGGTTTCATGTATTAGTGCTGTGTATAGCAAAGGCAGTGCAAAGTTAGCCTACATTGCTCCTAGCAGTCCAGCCTGGCCCACTGATCACCTCCTGAACTCCCAACTGAAAGATGCCCAGACTCACATTCAAACAGTCACAAGTACTGCATAAATCCATAAATACAATCATGGTTTGCTCAGGGGGAGAAATTGAGAGAAAAAAGAGAGTTTTCATGTTAATCCCTTGGATAGGGATAGCAAATTCGCTCTTTGTCCTTCTGATGTCATTCTTGATTTTACTTGTCAAATAATTCTTTAGAACAAATCCCCTTCTTCTCTTTGCTTTCACTCTTTTATAAGCACACAAAGAGTATAACTATCTATTGCTTTTTTGTCTTTTCTTCTCCTTGTCCCTTTATTTATTTATTTCTCTTTACCCTCAGGTCCAGGACCAGTGGACACTCCAGCTGTATCAGGGCTCCATCCTAGAAGTCTAACAATTACCTGGGTTCCTCCCTCCCGACCAAATGGCATTATTACCAATTATACCCTCTCTCTTTTCCCCAGCTCGGTCTCTTCTTTATATTTCAAACCAAGCTTAGTCTCCAGCACCAGCACGCCCCTTAACTCAAGCTTAGGTCCTAACCCAAGCACTGAAGGTGCATATCTCAATTCAGGTCATAACCTCAGATCAACATCCAGTCTTACCACCCCAGGCTCAAGCCACAGCTCAGTGTCTACTCTCAACACAGGCAGTAATGACAGTTCAACCACAATCCAAGGCACTAGCTTAAGGCCTGAAGACAACCAGATTGAGACAGTTTATGGAAGAAATACAAGCCAAGGCCCCGATTCTGTTTCATTTTACCCCACGACCGCCAGTGTAAAGCCAAGCCCCAGTCTTTTACTGTCAAACCCACAATACAGCATGACCACCTCTAATACTGAACATATTCTAAACCAAGACCCCTTCCACAACCCCATCTCTGGTTTCTTTAGTGCAGCTTCAGATTCAAATTCGTCCCCTCTATCAATCACTGTTCCAGGGAACACCACTACCTACACTTTCCTCGACCTGCTGCCATACCAGACCTACAGCCTCCAGGTATGATATGTTAGAACTATATTAGGGTAGAACACAATATTGTACTGTATAGTGTGATAGATTAAACATTATATTATGCAGTTTAAGACATATACAAACAAGTCATAATTGTGCTTCTGTTGACTCTGTCTCTATTCCTCTGATTATGTTCCAATGATTTATATAAATATTATAACTTTGGCAATTGAATAATCATATGTTTCCAGGCACAGATGAGAGTAAATTCCAAAATGTCACTACAGACTTTATTTTTCTTGTTGTTTGCACTTTAATAGTCATTGTAGCATGGCAGTCAAATGTGCCACAATTAGAGATTATTGACTGAGAAATAACAGAATAACTCATGATATTAAATTATAAATTGTTCTAAGTACTTTAACTGGTGATTTATGGACCGAAGAAAACTGTTTGTGAAATGCGTTTCTAGGTATAA